CAGCCGGTCCACAGGCCCCGGGGCTTTCACTCGAGTGGGAAGGCGGTTCTTCTGGCCATGCTCAGAAACCCAAAGCCACCCGCGCTGGCACCGCGGGAGCCCCCCTTTGCCCCCCCGTGTTGGGCGCGCGAGGCGCATTCTCGGCGGCCGTGGTGGCCGGACAGCAGGGAGGTCCTCCGCGTGGACAGATTCCTTCCCGCCTGCCAGTCCATTCGCTGTGCGGGCGACGCCTGCGGGCCCCACGGCACGGCCCGCGCGCCCGGGGACTGTGTGAAGGCACCAGTGCCTGGCCCAGGCCCCGGGAAGTCATGTCAGACTCTCCGAAGGCACAAACTGTTGGCGTTAAAAAAACAAACACAACGAGGAACAGCCCTCTAAGCAACTCAAAGGCCGCGCTGGCATTAAAATAACACAGCCCTGGACGTCTGATGTCAGCTGTCGCGTGGCAGGGAACGCTGTGAGTCGCAAGCATCTTAACTCTCCTGTCGTTAGTTTGGACAGAGCACTCGGGATGGGACGGCCTGGCCCCAAGCTTCTGTCCTCTCCTGGGCATGCGGGCTGGATGCCGTGGCTGCGTGATTTTCATCTGCTGGCCCTCGAGTGTGGGGCGGGTGTGTGCTCTGTGTGCACAAGGACTGAGAGGCATCTGGTGACTGGAAGGGGTGCCTGTGGCAGACAGACCAGTGGCTCTCTGCCCCCGGGCACATAGCTGGGTGACATGTGGCCGGGGTGTGGCCAGCGTGGAAGGTGGGGAATGATTCTGACACGTTCAGGCCTGAACCATAGAAACACTTTCTCCGTTCACTTTCTCAGCCCCGAGGACTTCGCAGGGGGCGGCCCGGGCTGGACCACGCTCAGGTCGGAAGCTGTGGGGAGCGAGGCCCCCCGCGCCGTCCGCCGACGCCACCCCAGGCCGCCGGGCAGCAGCAGGGGCGTCTTTACCGTGAAGAGCTGCGGGCGGCGGGGGCTTCTTATTCACAGCAGTCCGTCTGCAGGAGCAGCACCGGGAGGCGGGTTCCGCGAGCAGCCTCAGGAAGAGGGGGGCCCAGGCCGGACGTGCGGGTCCCAGCGGGCAGGTCACCGGCCCGGCGTCAGCAGCTCAGCCACACGTGAGCCGCCTGCGCCCGCACAGCCCCCACGTGCTCGCTCAGCGTCTGTTTGCTGGAAGCCGCATCCTGAAAGGTCTGGAGTCAGTCAGCGGCCCAACCCTGACCCAGCCGGTGGCCAAGCATCCGGCGGGAGAGGACACGGAAAGTCTCGCGTGGGAAGTGACCGGCCGGCAGGCAGGGCCCCCACGCCCCGGCCCCTGCCCCTCCTCCTGTTTCCTTTCAATGATCGCTGTGTGAAGCCCCTCGAAGCCAGAATGAAATGAGCAGAACAAAACTAAATGCACAAACCACGTTAGGCGAAGGACGCTCCCTCCGTCCCCACGCCGAGCCAGCGCCGGCATTTCCTTCTCCACGGGCCTTGGCTTCGTCCGTGCTCTCCAGACTCGGACGGCTTCCGACGGGGGTTCGCGGACCCCATCTGCACGTTTCCCGCTATCCTCAGACGTCGCTGTCCTCCCACCGTGAGGACTGGACGCGCTCACCAGCCGCGGTCTCGCCAGTCTGCTCACTCGTGACACGTGGCACGTCCCTGTCACCACACGGACATCATCGTCCTCGGCAGAGAGGAGAGGAACGTAACGGGACACGGCCTCTGCCGTCCGCCCGCGCTGCGTCGGGGGCCACTGGACACTGGCCCCGGTGCCGTCGTCCCTCTCGATTCCCGTCCAGCCCACGTGGCAGACACTGCGCCCGGAGCCCTTTGTGAGGCCCGGATTCACCAGGAGCTTCGGGGCGAGGAGCTGCCCTCGGCCCCTGTGCCATCGTCTTGTGGATCCGTAGCCGCGTCGCCCACGTCTGTGTAGATTCTAAAGGGCGAGCTCCTCAGAGCTCCATGTCCATTCTATGGCATTCTGCGGGTCTCTCCCTGTCTTTCTCGATCCGATCATTTAGGATCGAAGGAAAAGATTACGTTTTTGAGAGCCCTAAGCACCTCCTGTTACAGAACCTCATATCGTGAGATAGGACTCTCTTTCCTGAATATTCGGGTTTCTGCCTTCAAGAAGGCATATCCTCACCTTCTCGGTTATTATAGACTCAGACGTGAGAGTTTCTTTGTCCTTGTCTCGTTTTTGCAGTGAGAAGGAAAAGTGCCAGCTGACGAAGGCCAGTCACCCTTCACAAGAAATGATCGATGGCCGCTTTTCGGGATGATCGTCTCGGGTTTTCTGCCTCAGAAAGACACTTGCGAATGTGTGTAGAGCTGGCGGCCTCGCTGCAGGACCAGCCAGGAGCACGGTGGCAGCCCGTGAATTTACAGTGACGACTGCGTCAACCAGCACGGGAGGGCGCCTGCCTTCAGTGACGAGCGCATGCTCTCTCTGGACTCAGATGTACACGGAAAATCGCACGGTGATCTGAAATTGTGACAGCAGGTAAATTAAATGGATTGGATGATCGTCATCAGTGGACGTTCGTCCTCGTGAGAGGGGCCTGTCTGCATGAAACGCTCCCCACACGGCCCTTTAGGGCCCCTGAAGCATTTCAGTGTGTGTCGGGGACTTACTAGTGCCACAATTATATTTTACTTCTGGTTTTCATTTACAGAATTATAAAAAATGGGTTATAAAGATCAAACTATTTCTTTAGGAATTATTCACAGGTGACGAGAATTTTTCATTCTCAAGTAAATGTTCTAAGATGGGTGTCGACAGGCTCCATGTCTGAGGACGGAGGGTCGGGGTCTCTGCGGCCATTTCTCTTCCAGGAAGCTCGACAGCTTACTCGGCCGTGGGGACCCGTAACCGGCCACCAGGGTCCTTGGCCCCGGGGGGCAGCAGGGACCCAGCCGGCCTTCGAAGGCGCGGTTTCTCCCGTGTGATCCCACGCACCGGTTCCCGCCAGGTCTGTGAGCTCGTCGACTCGGGCTGGTGTCCTGTCCGTCAGCCATTATCTCATGGTCAAACCAGGTCTCTCTCCTTCGTCGGCCTGGCCTGTCGGTCACGCCTTGCCCGCAAAGCCTCGGTGGACCGTTACGCCGGGTCCCCAGTTCCCGTGGGATCAGCCCGACACCCGACGCGGGCGGAAGCACAGAGTCTCCCCGTGTCCCCGCAGCCAGCCCGCCCCTCTCTGCTCCGAGCTCTACGCGTGAACAGTCCGATTCTCCAGAACAACCTCCTTTTCCTCCGTTCCGCTGCCGGGGTCCCCCCCGCCCCGAGTCCCGCAGGTTTCGCTTCAGCGCGAGTTCCCCCTTGTCGGCCCCGAGGGCTCCTTTCTTTCTTCCCAGATGCATTTCTCATCCAGGCCCGTTGGAGACTCTGCTTTACTGGCTGGGGAACCCCGAGGCGTCCCCGGCGTCCAGGAGTTGCCCATGGCGGCTCGTCTCCGTGCTGGGTGGATCAGACGGTCTGGAACATTCCACAGCAATAGCGTCTGTGTTATTGTTTCTCCTCAGCTGTATGTTCACCCATCAACCTGCATACATGGGCCCGAGGGATTCACGGGTTCTCAGACGTGTCACCCGCCCGTGGGACGCTGCTCCCGTCTACACGGGCCCTCTGCGGGGAGAATGCGCTGACGTCTCCGGCCCAGCGTGGCCTCTGCGGGGCACATCTTCCAGCCGCCCTCACGCGGAGCGTCCCCCTGTCCGTCTGCACGGGAACTCCGTCCCCACTGGAATCCATCTTCTTGACCCAAACCTGGACCTTCATGTATCACCGTTTTCCGCCCTCTGACCTGGTCCTCTGGGGTGAGTCACACTCGTCCTGAGGCTGCACCACATCTGCTGCCACCGGCCAAGTCGCGGAGACCCCGAAGCCACCGTCTGGTCCTGCCGCCTCCCTCTGTCGCTTCCCGCCCCTCTGAGCCGTCCGGAACGCGAATCGTCTGCGACAGACGCGTCCGCCTTGTTACCGCTCTGAGCGGCCCACAGAACAGAGGGAAACGCGCCTCAGAGGCCGGACCCCGTGACGAGCTGGGATGACGCCCCGAGTCCTAACGAGGCTGCTTCCTCATCTACTAGCCGGGGCGATGACACGTCCGTCCTGCCCACCACGGCCGAGCGCCGAGAGAACACGCGACAGGCTTGTCACGAGCCGCGTCAGTTGTCCTCGTCCTACCTTTCCAAGCCCGATGCGGTTTCCTGTTCTCATTCCACGCTGCTTCGCTGCTGCTCCGCCTGAGCCCTTCGGGTGAGGTTTTCGGCGACGGCCTCGTCCCCTGCGTGTCCTGGCTGGGGCGTCCCTCTGTCCGGATCCTTGTCCCTTCGTCCACACCTGTCGAGACACATCGTTAGGGTCGATCCGCCCTCTGCTCCGATGTGAGCCACTTCCCGCGGCCTCGGCCACCGCACACCCCTCCCACCCCCTCGTTGACACCGTGTCGCTCGCGTCCTGGACGTCTGTCCCCTCCCACTCTGGCGAGCGTGGCGAGCATGGCGGGGGCTCGACAATGGCGTCTCGTCCATTTCACCAACTGGCAGAAGCAGCAGGCACCGTGGCAGGCGGTCGACACAAATCCCGCTCTGGTTTATTCTGATGTTTGCAGAGGAGCTGATGGGACAATTCACTGTGTTAATAAAAGAAAAATGATTACTTTATCGACGTGAAATTCTACATAGGGGAAAACTTACCAATCTTTGTATGCGAGTGACCCACAAGGACGAACCGGCCTGATGAGAGATGACAAGTCTTAGACGTGCTGGAGTCACTTCACATAGAGTTCCGTCGACCTGAACCGACACCAGAGGTGGCCGTGTCATCGGGCCTGCCCCGCCCGGGCACCAGGTCACATGTTTAAATGCCAGGATGACAGGGGTCCTGCCGACAGTTCAATCGCTGGTTCCCAGGCTCCAGAAGACAGAGTCCCCCTCACTCCTTGGATGATGGGCAGGCCATCAACATGTCCCCATTCTGCACGCATAACGAGTGACGTCACCTCTCAGTCTCTGTCCAGATGCGGCTGCAGCCTGTGCCCGGCCGGGAAGGGCCGCCGCTTGACCCTCGCAGACCTGATCGGCCCACCTGACCCCGGACGGCTGTGTTACATCAGCTCGCTGCAGGAGGTCGGCTCGTGGCC